TCCCTGGAGGACGTGCTGATTGGGAACTTGGTGCTTTTTTCGCGTCCGAAGGGGGCCTTGGGAGTCACTTTGAAGTTGGGTTCAGAAGTGTAGCATTGGCAAAGTTGTTGCCGGCTTCCTGGTAAGTTTGGGGTGGCGCAGAGGCGCGTTCTTTGGTGACAGTGTGCAGGCCACGTTGTGAGGGTGGTTTCTGGGCTACTTCCTCTTTGCAACCGATGTCCGTTTCTGAGCAGAAACTGACTTTTATTTCAGCGGAATATTCATCTTCAGCGGCAGCTCGAGGGAAGCGGTGCATGTGCCAGCAGGTCCAGTATTTTTGGAAGTTCCTAATTTGCCGAAAACAGGCATCACTTTGCAGTGGCCACCGAGATGAGATTGTAGGCTGTGAACATGGTGTGTTTCTTGTAAAATGTGGGTCGTAGTGGCTCTTTAAAAAGGCTCCTGCTCGGTTGTCTAGTGACCGTCCCTAAAGTAACTGGGTGATCGTCAGTGACCAGGGTTGGAACCTAGTTGAAAACTAGGTTTGCTCAGTGTCTGGAGTTTCCTTCCCACCATGGGCTGGGCAGGCACCAAGGTGAACAGTTTTGGTACCTCCGTGATTTACAGTTGACTTGGGGAAGTTTACTATTGGTTTTCCTGTTTTCCAGACAAGAACTTTATGTGGATCTAAACAAGCGTGTGAATAAACGATGGCGGGTGAATTGTGGGCTATTTTTAGTCTACATGGCCTGCCCGCCCCTCCCCCCATGTCCTGAAATCATGATCTTCCTTCCCTCTTTTTTCCTAAAGACTCTTTTATCCCATTGGGAAATAGAAGACACCTGGTGGTGTTTTCAGCCACTCACCTAAGACAAATTGTAGTAAATCTCCTCGCTACACATTGAAGATGCAGCGAGTGACTTTTTGGCTATCCCAGTGTGTGGTTCATTTTCATTTTTGTTGAATCAGACCTCTGCTACATTGGTGTATTTTAGTAATCCTGACTTCCTGGGCCTGTATGTTCTCACCGTTTTATTAAGTTGATAGTCTAGGGAAATGGAGCAGCTCTGTCTCCATGAAGACGGTGTGTATGTTGGGTTGTATCATGGGAGTTCATGGCAAGCAAGCTTCGGAAATGATCAGTGAGGGTGCTAGCAATAGTGAGCATTTATCTACCTGTGGAGGAGGGGCGGCAGATAGAAAATGTGGCTGAGAGTGGTGAGGTGGGGGATGCGTTGTTTATACTTCTCCCTCTTAAATTGAGGTTTTCTTGCTTGTTTTGAATATAATATTTTCCAGTTCTTTTTATCATGCATTGTCTGATGCATGTAATCACAACCATTAAATCCATAAATAACTACTGTTTTTGCTATTTGAGTAGTTAGAACCAGACCCATAGGGGAAAGCACTAAACTGTACTGGGGTGAAAACAATGTTTACATGGAAAAAGTTTTTCTTACTATGAAGGAACTTAATTAAGGGACTCGTTACTGGCTTAAAAATTGTTGCTTAGCTCACCATTAGTTAATGGAGGGACGTTTGGTTATTCAAGTGATGGAGACACATTGTAAATGAAGTGGCCCTTGGTGGAGGTTGTATTTTTGCATTGGGCGCTTCAAGGAAGTGTTCAGCATTTTAATAAACTTCTTACGTGTGCCCAGGAATCTTTCTGTTGCTTGTGTTCTCAACATCTAATTAAGGTTTATCATGATTACCATGATGCTTGCTTACCAGGAGAACAAGAAATAACTGCTTCCTGTGTGCTGGGAGCCTTCAAGCTAATGTGCAGGAAGGGTAGACCCTTCATAGAAACGTAGGGGCTACTAATGAAAAAAGATGTGAACTAATGGACTTTTTGAACAGCAACCTGTTGAATAAATACATGTTTGTATGTTGCAATGAAATATAAGCACAATCTTGTCCAATGAGTAGCTGACAAAGGAATCCCCCCACAATTTACTACAGCATTATTTCTGACTGGACACATTTTGATGAAGTTCATAGAAATAATTTGTTGGGTTTGTTCAGTTTCTGTATTTATATAAAAAGAATTGAGTGCAGTGAGGATGGTGGTAAGTCAGGGGAGAGAGATGGCTAAATATTGACATGTCTGGGACTTTGTATTTTTCTAATACAAGTGAATTTGACTCTTTTCACAAATAACATTTACAGTATGAAATGCAAAAAAAAAAAGCAGCTAACATGGAGACATTTATGCATTCCCATAAAACAGAAGAGGTAGGCCCTCAGGGCTATGTAAGAAAGAAGTAATAAGAGTATGGTCCAGCTTGGAGACCACCATGGTGGTATCTCCTGCTCTATCACCAACAAAAACTTGAATTTAAAAAAATTAAAAAATAAAATAAAAAAAGCTGTGTGAGAGCTGTTGTTGGAGAAGTTCCCTATTCACCACCTCTGGGATTGGGCTAGTAAGAATACAATGAATTGCCCTGTTAAGAAGAGCCAGAGGAAAGGGACTCAGCTGGGGCTGTGCTCTAGGAAAGGTGAGAGAGATGCTTTCTGTGCCATTTATACCTCAGGCTAATCTTGAGATGGGTAGTACTGGGCTTCTTTTTGTGGGCTATGAAATAGAAGTGCAGAGAAGTTAATTCACTTGTCCAAGGCCTCAAAATGATCAAATGATGCACTACAGTCCACCCTGTCCATCATGTTCTTTCTAGATGGCTGTGGCTGCGCCAAGTCTTCCCAGCTGTCGTGTCTTTTCTCTAGATATCCTTGCAAAAACTAGTGTTTCTAATCAGGTTTATATTTCTTCAGTTGTGTGTCTCTACTAACAGGGTCAAGTGATTGCAGGGATAAATGAAATTCATGGGATTCAAGCATCATTGTGCTTAAATCTCCAGAACTGTTTAGTAAGATACAGTCTTGTCAACTGCTGTATATTCTATCTCAAGGTTGACTGTGGTGAAGGGCCTCTCCAAGTCCTACTGCCTGCAGACCTGCAGAAATAAGAAAATGTGGTTCCATGCCTATAATTAAGAAGGAAAAGCAAATAAAAGTACCCTCAGAGTACATATTCCTTGAATAAGAAACATCCGTATTTTGTGTAATATAGTGATTCCATCAGAGGTCCTGGAGGCCAGCTGCCTGGGTTCAAACCCGGGCACTCTCCCGTACATGTGCCCGCGGGGGAGTAACTCCTGCTGTACTCCGTTTCCTCCTCATGGGGACAGTCGACTTGGTAGAGTTCAGAGGATTGAGAGAAGTGTATGTGTAAGGTGCTGAGAACAGTACTTGACATACAGCAAGCATCATGGAAATGTAAGGTGTTTGGGATGATGATGATGGGTTTGGATTTGAAGTTTGCTTCTTTGTATTACATTTTATTTGCTTGTTACTTGTTTTCAGTGGAAGCATACTGTCATAGAAAGCATTTGGCAGCTTTATTTCCTGAGTTCCTTGTCAAAGTATTTGAAATAAATTTGGCTTAATTTATTTACTATAAGTTGTGATTAAGGCCTACCTTGAAGAATTAGATTGGATTTTAATAATATCAAATTATGTGGTTGGTGTAGGGACAGTGGTGCATCTTTTGCATGCCTTTGCTGCTGTTCTGTCACTTGGGCTTGGACTTTTTAAATCCACTTGTACCATTTTAAATATTTTCCCAACTTTAAAATTTTTGTTTGTTTTTCAATGCCGTATTCGGTAGTACCGAGGACCTGCTTTTTTTGATTGGAGTGATTACTTCAAGTGGGTTATTGTTTCTCCAGCCTTGACCTTTCATCTGTGTTCTTGTTCCATATTTCAGCTGCTGTCAAGACAGTTCTCCTTGGAAGTTCTGTTCCTCTGAAATATCTGTGAGCCTTGCCTTATTTTCACTTCCCATTTTTTACTATTCTTAATTCAGCGATAATGCTAACTACTGTTGGAGTTCTGAGTCAGGACTACCCAGATGCTTTGACAGGTACTTGTGACAATCTGAGTGGGTGATACCCTGGTTTTTAAGGGGAGAAACCAAGGCTCAGGGTATATGTAAGTGGCATTAGGCCCAGCATGTCTGTGGTGTAGCTGGTGTTTTTACTAGCAGTCCACTGTCTTCTCAGTGAGTGAATGAAAAAAATGAATGAGTGAATGGTTTTCAGTCTGGGTTATTGCATTAATTTTCTAGTAGGTTGCTTTGAGCAGCCTTTCTTCTTCATCCTATCTTCTGTAACTACTGACAGTGTAATTTATTTAAAATACTGACTTCATCATGTCACTTCCCCTGCTGGAGAACCCATAATGCCTTCCCTTTGCCAACTGGATTGCGTTCATATGCTTCAGTCTGGCTTTTAAGGCTCCATTCTACCTATTCAGCTTAATTTCCCACTCCTTTCCAACTGGGATTCTTGCCTGCCTATCAAATACTGCAGTTTTCCATACTCATTACTCTGCTGCTTTTGTGCATGCTGTTCCTTCCATTTGTCCTCTGGATGGCCTGATTTCAGTCCCACTTCTTCGATGAAGATTTTTCTGGCCATTCTGACTCAGGATATTTCTTCTCTGAGATTCCATTGATTTAGTGACTATCACAAACTTCATAATTATTCATTGTTTTATGAGTATGTATCATATTAGCCAACTATACATCATATTTCTTGGACTTT